GGTAGAAGCTCCACAAACCACTTCTTGTGTAAAATACATGAGTGTATCATAGGGTTAAAAATAGGTAGAAGCTCCACAAACCACTTCTTGTGTAAAATACATGAGTGTATCATAGGGTTAAAAATAGGTAGAAACTCCACAAACCACTTACGTAAAATACATGAGTGTATCATAGGGTTAAAAATAGGTAGAAGCTCCACAAGCCACTTCTGGTGTAAAATACGTGAGTGTATCATAGGGTTAAAAATAGGTAGAAGCTCCACAAACCACTTCTGGTCATTTGAAAATACGTGAGTGTATCATAGGGTTAAAAATAGGTAGAAGCTCCACAAACCACTTCTGGTCATTTGATTGATCATTTCAGACTGCTGGGAAAATTAATTTTCCACATAAATAAATTTTGTATCAGTGATATCAGATAATACTGAATGTTAAAGAACATTGTTTTAATAGGTAATAACATATAAAACCTTCTGTATAATTAAAATGAATTATATTTCTAGTCAATGATATTTTCAAGATGATGCCATTTGATTTCAGAGTGATTTTCATTTGTTTTTTAAGTTTATTCTTGTTTATAGTTTTTGTGTAAATATTGAAAGTTGCAATGTTTTAACAATGTTTGAAAGTTTCATTTTATAACTTGCATGTTTTTATGCCTTTTTTTCAGCCAACCCACTCCAGTACCTGTACATGGTTTTGAAATTTGTTGTTCTTTTCAGCATTGTTACAGTTCTTTACATGTCTGAGGTAAGGCTTATTTCAGGCTTTAGAGTAAAAGACTTCAGACTGTACATAATTCTTGATATGTAGTATAAATATTTTCTTGATTTATGATGAACTGTTTTATGATCCATTTATATTTTTGTGGTTTAAATAATTTTGGAATTTGCTATAAAATGTGTTACTTGAGTATTTATTTGTTTTTTTAACTGTGCATGTATTGCTGAGTGAGTTTTTGTAGTTGATTAAATGTTTTAGGATTATATTTTTATCAATTTTTACATTTGGGTTATTTACATTATTTCTCATATATCTGAGCATTGGCTAGTCACCTTAAAGAGCAGTATAGGCTTCATGCAATTAAGTGACTTATGTCACATAACAAGTGTTTATGGTGCCATGTTTGATGAAAATAAATAGCATCGTCATGATACAAAAGACTGTTTGGTTTAGATATTAGTGATTAATTTATTTTTGTTAGTGAATATTTTATTATTGCTTACTTTTTTGTTATAATAAAAGTTAAAAGCAGACAAATGTAGGAAGTTTTGTTAATAATTCATTGATGTCGAGAATATAGAAGGAGGACAGACAAGTGATAATGATATGAATAGTGTTAGGCGAGCGGGAAGCAGCATGCAGATAATAGTGAATGAGAATAAAGTTGGCATGAAGTTAAGTACTGTAGATGTGATAGGCCTAACGATTGACATAGGCCTAACATTTAATTTGTTAGAGTGAAACTAACAGTACAAAAGAAGATAAAAGAACAAAAAATAATTTTATTCCATCGAATCTTGGTTCTAAAGTAATTGAATCAGCCAGAGTGCACTTTGACAAAAGGAACAGAGGATCTCCAAAAGAAAGAAGACCAAATGATTATGGTAATTCACCCCACAATTGTAAGTGAATCACAGAGAGTACTAGTGCAATAGAAATAGAGAAAATAGTTCGGCTTGTCAACTGAAATTCTAAAGTAACTTAGTAGGCCTAAGGGGATATTTGACAAGAAGGACAGAACTACATGTATAATATTTATAATATACCCATAATATCTGTAGTGTTGAAGAATTTATTGTACATACATTAACTTGTTCTGAACATATATATATTATTTTGAAAACAAGTGAAGTGCGTGCTGTTTATTCTACACTGAATTTATCACCAACAAGTCACAGACACATACTGTAGAAGAATCCTAAGCCCAACAACAGCATAGTATATATTCATACTATTAAGAAATATAACTAAAATCTTTTTTATTTTAACAATTGATAAAAAACAGATTTTAAAATTCTGACAATTGGCAAGACACAGCCAAGATTATACAGTGGTAAATGACGATAGAAGAAAACGACAGCAAAATAAGAGGCCTACCTATATACACACAACTATAGTAGTAACGAAAATAACATAGAAATTAAAATTACACTATATAACCATGTCAACAGATTTTGATAAATGGGTAAAAAGAGGATCTCAACTTGGGTTAAAAGACGGTGAATTACAAGAGTTTGTTAAACAACAACAAGAGCTGGAAAGAGAAGAACAGCAACAGAAGAGACAAATTGAGAGAGAGGAGAGACAAGAAATAGAGAGAATAAGAGCACAAATTGAGATTGAAAAACTCACCCAACCAAAAGAAGAAGGGCCCAAGAATGACAATGGAGTCAAGGCTAGCAGACCCAAACTGCTCAAATTTGATGAACATAAAGATGACATGGATTCTTTCCTGGAGAGATGTGAAAGATTCACCCAAAATCAGAAGTGGGACAGAGGGTAGTCTGTCTCAGCCCACATCTCACAGGAAAAGGCCTACAAGTACATGCAAGCATGACGTCAGAGGATGCCATGGATTATGACAAATTAAATGTAGCTTTACTGAAACAATATGAACTTACTGAAGAAGGTTATTTTTGGAAGTTCAGAGGAGTTAAACCAGACACTTTAGAAACTGTATTTCAGTTTGTGGCACGTCTTCGGCAATATTTCACCAGATGGACTGACATGGCCATGTGTGAAAATAGTTTTGAGGGTGGCAGACCTATTGGTATGTGAACAAATCATGACCATGTGTTCAACTGACATGTCACTATTCCTAAAGGAGAGAGCACCAAAAGATGTAGACAAGATGATCAAGCTAGCAGAGCAGTATATGGAAGTCCATGGAGGTAGTATAACTGGCAAGTCCAAGAATGTCCAGTTAAATTTGAAACCAGTAATGGCTGACCAGAAGCAGAAGCTTACCAAAGGTGACAGAAGAGAGAGGAGATAATATGTTTGTTATAAAATGGGGCACATTGCAAAAGAATGCAAGACCATTACCAGCAAACAACAGCAGAAACCTCAACATAAAGCAGCTGGAGCCATTTACAAAGACAGTGCTGGTAAGAAACAAGAAAAGAGTGACTGGCACTATGGATGCTGCTGCCAGAAGAAAGAGAATCAAGAATACTTGTCAAATTCAGTGCAAGAAAATATGATTGATCAGTGCACGACTAATGGTTGGCTCATATTAGCAAATGGATCAACAGTGCCAATAGTGATGGGAGCATGTGACAAATATCAAGAGGTGCCAACAAATAATATGTCAATATGTGGAGGCTATGTTGGGGACAAGAAAGTGAAGGTTCTATGAGACACTGGCAAGGTTTGTCTGTGTGTGCTAATTGATTGGACAGTGATAAAATTTCCCATAGCAAAAATAAAGGTGGATACTCCATATTATGTAGGAGACCTTGAAGCCTTGTGTATCAAGGAACCAATACAAGACTAGACAGAAAGGAGATTGATGAAGCATTTGCAGTCAATGCCATAGCTGAAGAAAAGAAGAGCAAACAAGACATCAAGCCTCTGCAAGTGTCAAAAGCCAATATCCCGAATTTAGGTTTGCAAGAACTGAAGAAAGCACAGAAGAAAGTCGAGCACAAAATAAAGGGGAAAGATACTTATAGAATAGAGGACCAGAAGGGAGTTCTATACCGAATCTATCAAGGTAATTATACTGGGGAAGTTAAACAGATTATAGTACCAACAGAATACCAGACTAAAGTGATGAAGTTGACTCATGAACCAATTGTGGGAGGACACCTAGGAACAAAGAAAATGGCAGACAGAATCACCAGTAACTTCCATTGGCCGGGAGCCATTGGAGATGTGAGTAGATTCTGCAGGTCATGTGACATGTGCTGAAGGACAATACCTAGAGGGAAGGTAGCCAAAGTGCCATTGGGGGAGATGCCTCTCATAGAAGAGCCATTCAGCAGAGTAGCTGTGGACTTGATCGGGCCACTAGCGCCTGTGTCTGACAAGGGAAACTGGTATGTTCTGACAGTATTTGACTATGCGACACGTTATCCGGGAGCAATAGCTCTGGTGAAATAGAAACCAGAAGCCCTCCTGGAGATATTTTGCAGAGTAGGCTTTCTGAGAGAAATCCTGAGTGATTGAGGGACTGAGTTTACTTCAGAACTGATGCAGGAAGTGTGCAGACTCATTAGTACAATCCTAAACATAGTGGACTTTGGGAGAGAGTCAATGGAGTTTTAAAGAGTATGCTAAAGAAGATGTGTCAAGAGAGACAACATGACTGGAACAGGTACTTGTAGGCAGTATTATTCGCTTATCAAGATGTCCCACAAGCAAGTACAGGATTTTCACCCTTTGAGTTGCTGTATGGAAGAACTGTACAAGGTTCAATTCAAATATTGAAAGAGCTATAAACGGGAGGAGAAAAGGCAGAAGTAAGAAACACATACCAGTATGTGTTAGTCCTCAGAAACCGACTAGAGGAGACCTGTCATCTTGCTTGACAGAGTTTGTATGCAGCTCAAGGTAGTCAGAAGTATTTTTATGACAAGAAGGCCAAGGATCGACATTTTAAGGTTGGACAAAAGGTTTTAGTTCTGCTGCCCACAGACCACAACAAACTTACCCTGCAATGGAAAGGACCTTTTGAAGTACAGGAAGTACTCAACAGAATGGACTAGAAGGTGAATATGAATGGAAAGACCAAGATCTACCATGCTAATCTGTTGAAGACGTATTTTGGGAGAGAAGAAGACCTAATGGGTGCAGCTATGGAAACAGAAATGGATGTTGCAGGTGTGGCCATCATGGATGCAGAACCAGAAGACAGTGACTTTGTCTTAGAAAATGAGGACCAACTAGACCTAAGACCATTAGGTGGAGATGAAACATACAAAGATGTAAACATCAGCGAAGAACTGACTGGCAAGCAAAATAAAGAGTTACAAGACCTACTGTGCCAGTATGCAGATATCTTCATGGATATACGAGGAGAGACAGACATTGTGCAACACAAGATCGAGACCACAACCAGGGATCCAGTCAAAGTGAAGCCCTATCAGATGCCTTATGCAATGAGAGATCTGATAAAGCAATAAGTTGAGGCATTGTTGGAAGCTGGAGTCATCGAGCCTTCATATTCAGCCTACTGTTCACCAGTTGCAATTGTGAAGAAGAAGGACAAATCAAACTGTTTCTGCATAGACTTCCAGAAGCTGAACCTCGTGACAAAGTTTGACTATGAAACTATGGACAACCATGAGGCCATCATGGCAAAACTAGATGGGGCCAGGTTCTTTTCAAAGATCAACCTCAGTAAAGGTTAATGGCCAATCTGATGGAGATGGGATCTAAAGAGAAAACAGCATTTGTTACACCAGATGGATGTTACCAATTTAAGCGGATGCCATTTAGATTAGTAAATTCAGCAGCAACATTCAACTGCATGATGTGGATGACATTCTGACACACATTGCAAGAGGGGGAAGACCATCTAAAGAGACTTATACAACTTTTTCAGTGAATGAGGGCAGCAGGGCTCACCATCAGACCATCCAAGTGCTACATTGGATATTCTGTGCTGGAGTTTGTTGGACATAAAGTGGGGGATGGACAGATAGCTATGGAAAAGGAAAAGATAATTTGCATACAGGATACACCAGCTCTACTGACCAAGCAGCAAGTCAGATCCTTCCTGGGGTTAGCAGGTTATTACAGGAAATTCATCCCAAATTATGCTGAAATTACTGCACCATTAACTGACATGACCAAGAAAGGCTTGCCCAACAAGGTGAAGTGGGAACAACCACACCAGGTGGCATTCCAGAAGATAAAGAACCTGTTGGAAAACTCACTAATTCTTAGAATGCCAGACTTCAACAAACCATTCATTGTTCAGGCTGATGCTTGGGACATTAGAATTGGGGTTGTACTCTTACAAGAACATGAAGATGGACTGTTTCCAGTAACATTTATAAGTAAAAAGCTGTTAAGTAGTGAGAAGAACTACTCTGTGATTGAACGAGAGAGTCTGGCCATTATATTTGCCAATCAGAAATTCCAGAATTATCTGTATGGGAAGGAGTTCATTATCCAGACAAATCATCAACCACTTGCATACATTCAGATATGCAAGATCGACAGTGCAAGGATCATGAGGTGGGCATTGTACCTTCAGAACTACAGGTTCCTCATTGAAGCTATCAAATGGACTGCAGACTGTATGAGCAGACTTTGTGTGTGAACTAAGAACAGTTTTTGTATATAGTAATAAAAAAAATGTTAAATATTTTATCTTGAGCAAAGGTTTATGTCATGATATAAAAGAGTGGTTTAGTTATTAGTGATTAATTTATTTTTGTGAGTGAATATTTTATTATTGTTTACTTTTTGTTATAATAAGAGTTAAAAGCTGACGAACGTAGGAAGTTTTGTTAATAATTCATTGTCATCGAGAATATATAAGGTGGGCAGACGACTAAGTGAGAAATTCAACATCAGCTTACATTTGAAAGACTTTAAAAGCCTGTAAAAGACTAGATGTATATACATACTTTACAGCTATTTTTTCAAGGAGCCCAGTATATATAAATTTTACATTTGGCATGAAAGTACTTCATTATAAAAAACAATAAGTAGAATCAAGTTGAAGCTCATTGGTTCTAGGAATATTTTTTCAGTAGAACCACTGCTAATCTTTAGGTATCATTATTGATACTACAACTACTGTATGTTCTTTTACCAGAATTAGTTTCTATGCAGTATGCTGTTATATGCTACTGCTAAAACTAGGATCGACGGAGAATTCTCATCACATGATATTCTGGCACTTATTCCTTAAAATATTTTCATCATGAAAGCAGAGATCTCAAAGTTTTCAATATAAAAAAGTGGATGTTCTCTGGGTGTAATACTTTCTCCAAAAGAAATGAACTCATGAAAGTTAACTGCACAGTTGAAAAAAGAAAAACTCAAGTTTCGTGATGTGTTTGATATTGATATTATTTGATACTTTTAGTATTCTTGTATGCAACACGTTTTCAGAAAACAGGTAATTATTTATATTCTTGTGAAGTTATGAAAAATGTTGTACATAAACATGTAATTATGATACAGATATTTTACAACCTTTCATTCAAATATCACTATCCTGTATCTTTTACTTGAAAATTTTATCACTTCTGAAGTATGTGCTGCAGGAAGAAATAAGAGTTGTGATGCAAATTTTTTATACTATTATTGCATAAAGTACATTATTTACGTAAATTATTGAAATTTAAGAACAGTTTTCATAGGGAATAAAAAGTGCATTTCCTCTATTTATTGTGCTTGATTATAACATAGAGGTTACATTGTACATGTGTAATATGATATTGGTAAGTTCCCCGAAGGCTCAGTGATAAGTATGATGACTTATAGTACTAAAAAATAGGTTTTGATACCCTTGGTTGGTACAGCACAGATAGTCCACTGTGTAGCTTTGTGTTTAACAAACATACTGATAAATCATTGTTGAGTTTTCAATTCTCTAAGAAAAAGGTACATTTGAGACTTAGATGTAGCATATTAATGAACAGAGCCTTACAATTCTTTCTGTATGTAGCTGTGATCCACTTATTGTGTCTAATTAGGTCAGCAGAGGCTGCAGGTATTCTTTAAAACAACAGATCTGATGATCCATCAATATTATTGTTGTAGTTAACTGCACAACAGGGATTTACCATCTTTATCTTCTAGAGAATTTTTAAGCGTTAATATACTTAACATGTGCTGATTTTCTACCCACATGCATAAGGTCTATGCCTGCTAGGTTACATACTTTAAGTTATGTAATAACAACCAGGTGTCACTACTGTTTCTCTTCTGCACTCAGTATTAGTATTGCTTCAGTTAGCCTATCTTTTTTGCTTGTTAATTTCTTTATAGATTAGAAGTTAAAAAGAACCTAAATACTAAATTTTATGTTTTCAGGTTTTCTTTGAAAAGATTTTTGTTACACGGCCATGGAAAGCACTGTTTGTAACAACTGATGATTCAATTAAGGAGTGGTGGTTTAGATGGAAAATTGACCGATATGTGAGTTAATTGGATTAGGAATGTGTGAAATTGAAACCAGTATTAAAATTGGAAATTTTAATCAACAAAACTAAATATGTTAAAGTTTTAGTTAGAATAGACAATAATTTAACAGATAGGAAAAGATAACATAATGAAGTTATAGGAAGAAACACTAATTTAAACCCTCTCATTCTGGGGCATATCAATTCACCACATCTGGTATTTCACAGCTAACACACTCAGATTCCATGAAATTATCAAGTTTATGTATGGGGGGAAAAAATCAGTATTTATTTTGTGAAATTTAATAATGCAGCTGTTAAAAACAATACCTCATTAAACTTCATATTTTTGTTGTTTGAATGTTGAATAATTATTTTTTGTACAATTAAAAGTATACATTAATTTACTTTGTCTGTACATGTATTCAATGAAAATAACTGTTAAAATTATATTATTTATCAGAAAGTTCCATTTTATATGTGTAATCAATTTTAACTTGTTTTATATCTATCAGTGCATTTCTTCTTGTTATATAAATACTGTATATGATCAATAATTGTTTGGTCACAAACCATTATGCAACAAATTAGATCAGCATGTGGCTACTGTACTTAATAACCCTGAATATCCCTACCTGATATCTTTCTATAGAAATATATTTCTATAGTATTTAAATTGATAAAACACAACTTTAGTATCAGTGGCAAGAAAAACATCACAGAAACTTTATAAAAATATTTAAAAACTCGTTAACCCTGTCATGCCACAAGGTTTTAGTGTCTTACATTCAAAATTTTATTTAACTACTTTTTGTTTATATTACACCAATTAGTATAGCATAAAATCTTAGCTGATAATCCATATTTTAACAGTATATAAGTTTTTAATTCTATGAGGCAATATTTTAACAAATCCTGAATTTCTCCTAGTGTGATACAACTAGCACATTTTCACGAGGTATCTTCTCTTCTTTATTTTATCCACCACCTCTCCAGTAACTACAAAGTTCAATGTAAATTAGTCACTATAAAATCATCATTGCTCAGACAAACCATAAATTCTATAGCCTTCAATTTTGTTTAGTTACAGAGCTATCAAATAGAAAATCAGACCTCTGCCTGTCACATCCTCTCTTTCAAGATTTGTTATTAGTTCTCTCTTACGTTTAATTATATATTATCTATAACCAATAGAATGCTAAGGTTTTCATCTATCAAATGACATATTATATTACATTGTGATCTGAACAGATAATCATCAGTTTCACTTGTAATAAAACTTTGGTTCCCACAGGAATCACAAAGGTTAGCTTGGATGTATTTGTAACAGCTCTTGTGTCATAGTTAGAAAGCCAGAAAAATTGTGATTGTTAGAGGAAATCGTCTGCTTTTTGCAAGTTATTATTCTATGTTCTTTGGTACGTTATTTAATTAAATAAAAAATTATTTAATGTATTATTACCATCAGTATAAAAAAAAGTAGGGTAAGTGTCATCGATAGTCGACATCAAAAAAAAGAATACTTGGGTAAGTACTTTATTTTGTTTTTCGTGTTCATTCTGTACTTATTATTATAAAGTAACTAAAACATAAGGGAACTATAACATAATAAAAGTATTTCACGAGGGATGCACACATGCGAGCAGCTCATAGTAACTCATGGGTAAAGTAATTCGATAGCATAATGTGAGCTGCACATTCCCCAAATTATTTCCAACTTATAGTTGTGCTAATAGTAGTTAGACATGGCTCAAAGGGCAATAAAACAAAATTTAATTATAAATATGTGTATACAGTTATGAGTTTAAAGCTACTTAGGATAAGCAAATGTAGTTTCATGTTGCTTTTTTTATTATTATTACAAGGTTGGTCAAATTGACCAACCTCTTATAGATCTAGGGTAGAAAAATAACAAATAAAATATAAAGTTTTTCTGAAAACAAACATTTGATATGTATTTAGGAGGTTTTAGAGATTACACAAATGTATTTTGAAGATGAAGAAAAGTATTTTTAATCTTAACATGAAAATCACTTTGCCCTCAGACTAGTTAAAAAAAAATTATTCATGGACAATGTTTGTTAAAAATACTTTACTAAAAATTCAGATTTTTTGTATGTAAAAGACTTGTAATGTTTACTGCAAGTCTG